GAAGTTATTGGCAAAAAACGAAAATTTGGAAGAAATTGAAGGGGTACCCCTTGGAAAAATCTCGGAAAAATCGAAAATTTTTTTTTGTCGTTTATTATTAGCAATATTCTTCCGACGTCTGATTTCTTTTTAAAAAATGCGTTTCTAAAGTGCATAAACTTTTGGGATTGACTGTATAACCAATACATCCTTAAATGAAACGTTGTATCAAGGATTGCATTGAGCATGACGACAATTATAATGCACGGTGCAAACCAAACTCTTATTACGAACATTAAAGGGATTGATTAAAAGATCGGAAATGTACTATTCAATACGCGAAAGACCAGTTCCGGTTTTGGCGAAATCGTGCGGAAAAGACATGGCTCCGATGGGTGTCTTGTCGGTTGGAAAGTTTCCAAGCATGAATAATATATTACCTTCTATCATACGTGCTCGATGGAGGCAAGAAGAGATCAGTTATGGCATTATGACAGCATTGTCATTCAACGATATTCCGCACTCGAAATTTATCCTTATACAAAAGCGTCACGACATACTTCCCATACAATTTTTCGGGCGAACTTATTAGGAAATCCATCGGCTAGGAGCATCCTTTATAACACCGTATGCTTCTATATTGTTTGGTGAATCATAATGGAAACTGTACAGCGATATGAATACATTTTACTTTATGTACTTATCACTTCTGTAGAGTATCGTATGAGTCACGATTTTATTGTTTGATTAAATATGGTTTCATGAAAATTGTACAGCACTGTACCTCACGTGCTCTGTGTCCAGGAATGACAACGGCGCAGATCGAAGCGGAGAACACGCAAATGACGAACGACCTGTACAGACTGTTGAAGAAGTACACCGGGTTAAGAAATCTCATCAGGAAACTAAAGGTATTTAAAAGCCAACTGCTTGCAGTACAGATTCGCAGAAAGAGAGACACGATTCGGTATCCGCGAGGGAAGATAATCCTCGAATAAAAGTCCGAACATGCTCGATTTCAATTATCAGTAGCGCGTGATCTCGGCCGAGCTTATCGAGTTAGCGACACTAATGCACTGTTTGCCGCAGGAGGAGTACAATAGCACAAAGGTGTATCCAATCTTTCCCCGTTACCCGATCCTAAAGGACATGATAAAGGACATAATGCACAACCCTGACTACATGGAGGTTTGTCACGAGGCATAACTATCGGACCCCCATCGCCGTTCACCGCGTATGACCATATAAAAGTTAGCTTGACAATGCGGTGGTCGCGCGGTCCCCGGCGAGGGGGGTGTCGAAACCGGAAACGAGCCTCCATCGAGGCGATAGGTTCTTTGCAAATTCGTTTCACCCCACGGTCGACGTATCTGTGTTCATTCGAATCCAGATAATTTACTCTATACTTTCTTAGACTGCGGATTTTCATGAAATATTAATAATATAATTTACGAAAAATTAAATAGAAATTGATTTCATTGTTTGAACATGAGGCTTTTGATATTTCATATATTTTTATACATTACACCGTTTCTATTTGGAATGGAATCCGCAGTCTGGTGATACTATTCGCTGATCAGTCGTTGAATAATAATATTAATAATAATAAGAGAAGTTCCTCGTTTGGAACGAAGCTTTTAGTATAGCCACATGTTCGTCAAGGAATCGCCAAGTCTGCTGCTTGGTGAGTAAAGTCCAAGTTGAAGAATTCGTTTAAAGACTGTTTAGAATTACAGTTAGGATCTTAAGGAACAATGGATAATAATATGTGGACTGCAGATTTTTTGCATTTATATAAAAAACTGAATGTGCATTAAATATAAACGCGTAAACTATATGAACTGTCGTGGATGCAGTACTAATTGCATGACTACCATAAGTATATTATTTTGCATAAAAGTCAGCAGTCTAATAAAAAATCTTGGATGCAAGATCGGGTGACGGCACCAAGTAGCAGAAGGAGGAACGATTCCCGTCGTAAAGGAGAGATCGGTTCGATCACGTTAGTTTCTGATTCCGATCGGAATAGCCGCTTGCACGTTGAGACACAAACTACAGAATTACACTTAAAACGGCACGCGTCGAGCACGCCGAACGCCGTGAACATCGTGTAGAATTTTTATTAAAGCAGCTAACGAAAAAATCCTAATTAAAACAATAAGATTTATAAGACGTGACCCCGCGTGAATGCGTGCGCGTATGCTTATCGAAATATTGTTAAACGAACTAAATGTGAATCTGCTTCCTGCTATATGATACTGGATGGTCGAAATAAGCATCGCGAATATATTTAGTGATAGTTCGTTAAATAAGAGGAGACCTCTCTTCACCTACGAACAGGACAAACCGTAGAAAATCTAGTACTCACACGGTATATTAATTCCGCGAAAGACGACAGTCCTTTTTTAATTACGTTGATGAGCATATTAGCAAAAAATAAATTAGTTCAAATAATAATAAGCTTCTGATATGTTAATTAGATCGTAAAACTCGAAGCAAAATTATTTGTCGAGGTAATGAAGAAAAGAGTGAAGATATATAAATGTTAATTAACATATCGCTATTTCAACAGATTCTAACGAGACGTTCGTTTCAAGAACTCTTCGATACAAAGTTAAAAAGATACCTATTTATTTTAATAACGCTACGTCGTGATCATTTTCAGACACACAGCAAACCATTTAATAATAATAATCGATATTGAATGTTTCGAATCTAGTCGTAACGAGAAAATCTACTTAACGTAAGGAATACTATTTAAGGAGAAAGTAACAAATGGCTCGCAGCTTGAAATCAAAACGCAACACGTAATGCGCGACGCACATTGAGGCGACAAGGCTGGTCCGTGACGGATCTTTCTCAATGTGCGACGATGCCTAGTCACCCCGTAATCTGTTCCCCCGTACGTTTAAAACCATCTATTCCAATTAAAGACACTTTACACGAAGTAACGGATCAGAAATGCTGGGTACAGGCACGCGATTTTTATATTTTACCATTGCGTCGAGCTTCGGCGATTAACGTTGACGTTGAAAATGTGATTTCTGACTTTACACGAAATCAAACGTTGCGAGGGAGAACATATTTTTTGAGCGACATTGTTTTCTATCGGAAACCGCTGCATGCTTCGTTGATATCAAAAGCGAACGTACAAAACGAAATTCTAAGCGACCTCGAACGAGCTTACGCTTCATTCATTCATTTCGCGGCGCAACAGCCTTTGTATAAAATTTAAATCAAATTTCAGAAGCGCTATGAAAAATTTTTGTCTGGATCCAGCATAGAATAAGAGACACGTATTACATACTAACTGTTTAGAGAATAGCGCTTTAAATATTTACTTCGTGAAATGTATATAAAGACAACATACGTACGTTTATAGAAATTTTACGATACAAAAAGTTACACTATGACACGATCGATTCGTTTTTCCATTGGTTGTGCAGAAATTTTCATATTTTCTCTCTACACGTATAATCAAACGTTTAATTAATCAAAATGATTTGATAAGATCAAAATTGCGACGTATGAGTTTTCATTTGATGATGTCAATTAACACACACGAAGACCAAGTTCGAAATCTAAAAATATACACGACGTATTTATGATTGAACCTTTGTTTCTCGCGAAATTCTATTTACGATAACTATACAACAAAATATATTTGTAATTACCATAAGATAATTCAGTCGCGAAGGCACGGTCGATATTTTTATGCGACACCAGAATACCTTCTTAGACCAATTATCGTACGGTTAAGGTATAGATTAAACAAGAAAAACTAAACGAAAAAAAAAAATTAAATAAAAAACAAGACGTATGTGTAGCGACGGAATAAAGCTATGTATACTCGATGCAATGTCTCTGAATTGATGAATATAGTAAGCGTGCTCGCCTTTTTGATAAAATTAGGGGAGTGCCAAATAGATTTTGAAAGTTTATACATACGTGTGTGCAAGTTAAGTACGAACATAGTAATGGCATATACATTCGTGAATGTTACTGTACAATTTTTATATACCTATCTACGTACAGTACTCTAACACAATTTCGCTGGACCGATCCTTAAATTATCTGTAACAGAGTATAATTAGGAAGGAAGCTGATTAATTTCAATTAAACCACCCGTTATAATAGAAATTTTCTTTAGATATTAAAAAGCATCGTTTCAGCGAAATGAAATATCTAATAGTTAAGTATAATTACTATACACTATATAAAGATGTCTGACATGAGAGATCTACCTAATGTGTTTGAAGATTGTATAACATGGTAGACGTAAAAACGATGTTAACACATTATTATATAAATGTATAACATTATAAATGGTGCTTTGGTTTCTCGCGAGATATTAAGAGAGAGAAAGATAGAGAGAGAGAGCAGTTTCAGTTTCTTTGTTTTATTCTTGCCATTTAAAATAGTAAGAAACTGTTCTATTGCTTCAAGGCATATTCTATGTCCCGAACGAGCATTAAATATTTTGTAGAACCGGGAAGAAATCGGCCAGTGATACACGATGATCAATTATGAAATCAAAGGACCATTATCCGTTGATTAAATGCATACTGTACAATAACAATGTTGAACCGGTCAACAATGATTAAAAGAAGAAAAAGGTTACGTGTGCGATGAACGAAAATTCGACCAATATGCCCCATAACCAGTATTCGTACGCTATTTGGCGCATTGTCTAAGGTCTACATATTACAGATATATGTATATTCGCCTCGTTACGGTGAGCTTCTCCGTGCATATCGACGTAAGTTATAGATGTAAATTTTTACAGAACAAAGATATAAATATAGATATAAACAAATGGATATATATATTTTGACAGAGGACACGAGGTGGTCGCGCGACACATTTCGCGCAAGATTTTCACCGAGGCTGCAAGTACTTATATGTCTTGCAGGCAAACTCGATGAGAAATCGTAACATCTTCGGGACAGAATTCAAAATCGAAAGATTCGAGATGAAGTTTTCTAAATACACGGTAGACTGCGGATTCTTACGTGAAACAAAACGTTTGTGATATCGATTTAAAAAAAAAAAAAACGAGATGAAGATTTCTTTTGTCTTTAATAAAATATATAATACGCATTATAATAATTGCTGATTCATATCTTTTTCACAAATACGTATGCGTAGGATCCGCAGTCTTGTCACGAGTTTCGTAGCTACGATAAATTTTCCGGTTTATCGAGCAAACTGATTCCTTTCATGCACTATTAGAGTACAAGCGTATAGCGATGAGGTGTCTAGGTACCTTGTTAGCTCAGCTAGATCCGTACTTCATTGTAAAACGTGAAGAATCGCGTAAACGACTCATTCATCAAGCTAGATCGGGTAGAACATACTGCGCAGTGTTGTATCATAGTCAATAATTGTCACGTTGTACACCCCGTCAGACGCTCGATTCAACATTGGTAAACAGGTGATGCAATCGGAATAGTAATTGTTGTGTAAAGAACGCTTGTCGAACCTTGGTACCATTATAATACATGTAACGATCGTTGTATTTAAAGAAAGGAACTAAACTATTGTGATGTTTGTATGTCCGTTATGGTAGGAGGTCGAATTCATTTAATAGAATCAAACATAGTGTACAGGTCTATCTATGGTATTTCGATCGAAATAAGTTCCAAATATTTTATAGGATTAAAAATTGTACGATTCCGTGTCTCCGATGTTAATTATTCGATTAATTGTCAGGAGATCTGATTGTACAAATTATGTTTAACCACCCTGAACGAATCTGCATAAACGCGGCTCAAGGCAACAGCGTAAATTAAACCCTCGTCAAAGAGAAAGAAAAGTAAATCGATGTTCTAATTGTTCCGTGTCAATCTGCTTTGTTAAAAGAAGCTTAACGCCGATGCTGCACTGTCTACGTTCAACGATACTGTAAATTATTTCCCCTGAATCGATTTTTGTTCAAAACCGATTGAATCGCGGCAGCTACGTTAAGATTCTTCGAAGCTAAAAGATATTAGAGAAGAAATCGCGCAATGTCGATGTGTGTAAAACCATTAGCTCACGTTGGACATTAGTCGAATCAGACGAATTGTATGTTAGTTATCTCGGGAGAAGTGTTACAAGGGAGAAATTGAATGTTTGTAATCGCGTTCATTAAAAGAACAGACTGGCCCCTCGCGTAAATAGAAAACGCGTTTACGGTACGCGATTGTAGTCGCTAGATATCACAATAGATTAGAACAAAAATTCGTATGCTAGATGTTACGGTGTCGTACTAATGTTTACAGTTTACACTTTCCCATATTTACTTATGGAAAATTAGCGAGTAGTTATACGTGTAAACGTTGCTAGAATAGCTTTAGAGGATACGTATTATAGTTCGTTCGAACAGAAATCCTTGTGCTGCGATGTACTAACATTAAATGTGCGATCCTTATTATTAGTTTCATCTAATACACATATGTATACATCTTTGTTACCGCTAATGACGACATTACTTGTTTATTGGTTGTTAAGCTTTGTTAATAAAATACTATAAGATTTTAAGCTGTCTCTTTTCTTACCAAACGCAGCTTAACCAATCCGTCCACTGGCCACTGATAAACTTAATTCTGTCGTAACGTTCTTTCACGATAAACTTTTGCTCGCACAATTACGTATAACAAACTACGAGGAGGCAGTGTCAAACTGTCATTCGAACTCGAACAGACTAAGTGGCGCTACTGGTAGTATGGAAATTAGTAACAACCAAGATGGCTGGCACCAACTCGAATTTACTCAGTGATAGCCCGACAAAGAAAGAGGACGAATTCAATGAATTTTACACCGAAGTATGTAAATTCTGAATGGCATCGAGTCATTAGAATATCCGCCTGCGTGATAATCAATTTTCTATACGATTCCCGATTATGTAATTGTAAATACTTATACCTCACATCAAAGGTTAACAAATGTCACCATGTATGCATACGAATACGAACAATAATAAATCGAATTTAAGTCACAGCATATCGCATAGTTCCTCGTTATTTAACAAACAACACCTAACGTCTTTCGAAATATTCTAAATCGCATTGCTTTGATGCTAAAGCGTTACGAATTAAGCCTAACCTGTGAAACGCAAACAAATAATAGTTTTCCCGCTATACGATCTTTTTGTTTACCTCCAGGTGAAAGAAATTGAGAAAAGGGACTCGGTACTAACGCCTAAGCAACAAATCGACAGATTGCTGCGACCAGGATCATCGTATTTTAATTTAAACCCTTTTGAAGTGTTACAAATTGACCCATCCACTTCCATAGATGAGATCAAGAAGAAATACCGACGTGTGAGTCTAATATTCGTCATTTTATCTACATGCAGTTTCAAATAGACTTTAATCAACTATTCTTTTATCATAGATGTCAATTCTTGTGCATCCTGACAAGAATCAAGATGATGCAGAACGTGCACAGCAAGCATTTGAAAGTACGTATTAATTGCGTTCAAAGAAATGACAGATCTTTCATAATGATTTTGTTTAAAGTCGTCAACAAAGCATGGAAAACATTGGAGAATGAGGAGACCAGGGCCAAATGTATGGACGTTATTGAAGAGGCAAAAGCCAGGACTGATCACATGGTAATAATACAAGTAAATATACTTATTCCAAGGGAAATTGATGTAATGACAAGAACTTATCAGATTGCAGAGAAAAAGAAGAAAATGAAAAAAGAGGGAAAAGCAGAGAATACAGCTGTACTGGAAGAAGAAACAGAGGAAGGCTACAGACACGCAGTTTGGGTTATGACGATGAAACTGTTCGCGGATATGGAGAGAAGAAGGTTCGTATCCGGTGATGAGAGTCATTCATTCAACTATTTCTAACTAATCATTGTCGTTCTCCTTTGTGTAGAAGAGAACTGGCAACAAGAGACGCAGAGCAACGGAAGAGGAAACGAGAGGAGGAACTGTCTGCTGAGGCACAGGCTGCGTTAGAACGTGAGTGGCAAAAGAATTTCGAGGAATCCCGACAATCAAGAGTCGACAGCTGGAAAGCTTTCCAGTCTGGTTCGAGCGCGACGAAACAAAAGAAGGCGAAAAAGTTGAAAGCTTTTAGGCCTCCGAAAACGAAAGCCGAGTCGCGATAATTAATCAATTGTTCCTGACGCCTGACTTTTTTCGATATAGTGTTCTTTTCTTTTTCACATTTCTTGCAAGAGAAATTTAGAGTTCTCACTATGTGACATCAGGATTCTATTAAACCTAATCGAAACTATTCTCACTTGACATTTTTCCTTTTTCGTTCGAATATTGTGAAAATCGGGTGTCAAATTAGGGAATGAGTTGTAAATGAGTATAAGAATGATCAATGTATGCGTCTTCTAAGAGTAATTGTCTGATGAATGTACATGTATTATACGAACGTACATATGTAATCATGCTGTACGTACATGACCCGAACAAGGTTATTCTTAAAACCATGACCCGATCATATTTGTATTTCGAAATTCTAATACATGAAATACTTACTGTATTATGCATTAGTGCATGGGCACTGTCAATTTCACGATACGATTATACACAGAAACTAAGCATATTATTTATACGACTCGTTATGCGATAAGAATTGGCAATTCCACGCATTTATACGCTGAAGTATGAACATTTCGTTAAAAAAATGTAAAAGTCCGTTATAAAATGAAATCGGCGCTCTGACGGAAGAGCAAACTTTCATTTATATAGTTCGTCACGTAATTCTTAATCTACTTTAAAACAAAGTCGTATGTTCTCTACTTACGTAAGACGGATCGAGTCGACTCTCGGGTTTCTTTCTTCTTATATCAATTAATTCACTTTCACTCAAATTATCTATTTTATTCTTCAATCACGACACGTTCGCTGCATCAGCATTCCGAATTTCAGCCGGTCGCCATATGTACTGCGCGCGAGACCTGCGCAGACGGCAAGTATCGATCGTATCGATTGTTGGATTCAAATTGAGGGAACATGAGCACATCGATTTTTGTTAGTATCGTACGATCAACAATAAGGTAGTCAATCGTTGAACATCGTTAACCTTTAACGGACCATGTGATTATGACTCCTGGTTTTCATTAAATAATCCAATAACGAATATTATATCTCGACATACACTCGGTCCAATCGTAATTTGTAAGAGTCAAATTTCAAGTCACTTCAAATAGTCTTAATTAATATGAAAGTCAATGTCGTACAAGTGATGAGCGAGAGGATGGATGTGTGAACACGCGTGTGTAAAGGACTGGATGATGAGGTAAAATTTTTATTAAACATATTCGATCGGATAAGATTTAATTCTAGTTTTTATTTCTTTTTTATTTGTAACATGGGTTTTTTTATGATGCCATAGATTTAATCAATTTACATACGTAACGTTAACGATCTGTATACACTGAGCAATGCGCTCGGTTATACCTGGATGTATACTAGAAAAATAATTTCTTGTTTTATCCACGTACATATAATCGTGAAATCGTTTTTGGGTAAACAATTTGTACACAATTGCTGAAATGATTATCGACAATTTGTATCATTCTTTATTTTGTTCACTCGTCTGTTATTAATGTATTCGATTGTATATTATGACGTCCACGAGATATAAAATGTAAATACATATCGAGTATCCGTAATTTAATGACTCCACTCAGGGTGTATGAAAAATGTGTCAACATTTATGTGATTCATTTAATCCGCAATTATTCCTAACTACAATTCGTAATCAACATGAATTACAATTAAATGTGATATGTAGACGTTGGAATTAAAAGTGCGATTCGTAATCGAATTTGTTTATTGGCGTAAATGTACAGATTTTTATGCACTCTACCACAGAAGACGTCGGGTACTTATCCCCTTTGCATCCGCGCGTATCATTCCTATTTCCCCGGAATGATACGCGATTACGTAATACCGTTTTACTACGGTCATTCGAATTTTTGTTTGCTAAACAGTCTGCCGCCGCACTGTCTCTCGGAGTCAGTGCACTAGCAATGATATACGATCGAACGCAGTTTACGTGACCACACACTTCCATCCGGAGTGTGCACGTGACCCGCGTACAAAAATCCACTCGCCATCGGGAGCATACTGATACATAACACTTATCTATTTTATAAGGACTTACCCTTCGTTCAGTATTATAATAAACGTTAACAAAGAAACCATTTGCAAGCATTAATATCCCGTTCATGTCAAATTACGATCCGGGGTATATTAACGACATTTATCTATCTTACAAGGACTTACTTTTCGTTCGGTATTAATTATGCAAATCCTGTTTTTATCGATGTTAAGAACTGCGGTGCAAAGTACATTAAACAGCAGCAAACAGCGTAGATAAACTCGTCGAGAGGCAGTCAATCATACTTTCTTCAAACATTACCGCTTTCTACGTGTCCAGACGATTACTATACATCCATCGACCCGCGCCACGTTTTCTTAAATAATTTACTGGCTTCAACGATTTACACGATTTGCAAGCGAGAATAAATTCGCATTTACATTAAAATTTTTCAATTCGCGTTTTCTAGATTTATAATAAACATTCCAATTACTCCGCGGTGTCTATAGAAAGACGTACCGATCAGGTTTTTGGCGTACGTTCACGGATGGACCGATCAAGAGGATACCGTTGTGCATGGTATCATGCAGCTACGAGAGAAATGTTATTTCTGCCAAGTAGTAGTGGCCGAAGAACGGAGGAGCGCGCAGGTAAACGGAAATGCGTCTGAACCCACACAGTCGTCGATGGAAATCGAACGTGTCAACGCATTCCTGCGCGGCGGAGGAAGAGACGTCGGGGTGCCCGTTGACAGTGACAAAAAGGAAAGAGCGCGGTTTTTTCTAAATCGAAGAAAGTGGTACGCACACGACGACGACGACGATGTACGCGTCTATCCAGTTAGAGCGTATGCAAATTAGATTGGACAGTATCTATGCGAAGCCTGTGTACGCGAAAGGCACGTGTGTCGCGTCACAGCGCAGCATACATACGTAAAACCTTGTAAAACCTGTCCGCACACAAACGTGTCATAAGATAAATACTCGTGCGCATATAAAACTGGATAGAAGTCTGCGTGCACGGCTACAGCCGAAAGATACCGGGACCAGGTTGATACACGGCTCTGCCCGTGTATAGGTGCACGCAGGTAGAAGGAACGCGTTTCGTCCGACCGGTACCATACAGGTGTAAGGAGTGATCGTGTGCGTGTGCACAGGTAGAAGAGAGGTGAGGCAGAGGTGCGGCGTGACCGCGACACTACACGAGACTGCAGTGAGCTGCTCGCTCCCGTCTGCGTCTCTTCAGCAACTCCGCGTTTCTCGATCCTCCGTAGATCCCTGGAAAATCCGCGCGCGCGTCGTCGATCGCTTAGCCTTGACGGGCGCCAGCCAACCTGGACACGTACGCCTCGGCTTGCATTCACACGTGGATCGCGCACCGCGCCGCGACTACGCGGATTCGAACCGAGGAAAGCGTATCCTCGAGGAAAGTGCCACGAATATGTGAGACACCGAGTGCTGTTTGAGTGCGCCTCGCCGGGAGCACCATGTCGACCACCGACGTGTTTCGCATCGCGCAACAGGGATCCAACGAAGAGGAGCAAGGGTAACGTTCACCATAGTTTCACGATTAGGAACCGCGCCGATCCTCTCCGAGAGGAATTCCATCGATCGGTATCAAGTGTTCTGGAAGAATCGTTGGAATGTTTTTGTTCGAGTACACGTTCGTAATCTTTTCAGTGGCGAATAATAATTTAGTGTGCATGTATAAAGTTTTACGGTCGAAGACTGGACTGTCCTCTTGCGCAACAGATCGGTTGCGTGTATATGTAAAGAACAAAATAGAAGAGATTCCGGTACTCGAGACGTTAGAAGAACAGGATCGTCGAATCGTTGGAACGTCATTTGGTCAGGTGTTTCTGCGCGCGGTTTCATAGTTCTCACTGCGAGATCCAGCATTCCTGTTACGCGAAATCGTATGGAATTCTGCTGTGAAACGAATACGAGTGTAGCAGATTTCGAGGACGAATCGTTGGATCGGATCTTGTTTACTCGTTCCTCGGTACCGTTTACGGCTTATCAACGCGATTTGCGTTATACTTTCTACACTGCTCGAGGCAACGAACCACGAATAAGATGTTTGCGAAAAACCTGTTCTCAGTTATCTACCGTTTCTATATTAGATGGAGTCCACGTTTGAAAAATGAAAAGATTCGAAGTCCGACCTGTGTTACAACCGCGTCTGTATAATTTTTCGCAACCAACATAATTCCGCCGAGTCTCAGGACTGTGCGATTGCGTTGTTTTTTTTTTTACCGAGGCTGGCGCCAACAAGCGTATAATTAGACAAATGTTCGGGTAACTTGCGTGTATTTTAATGTTACTCCACCGTGTAATTTGCCCACGGTTACTACCATAATGTTCTAATCATCCGCTTCATCTCTCTTCAAATATTTCAGCGCTATCCTTGACAGAGAATTGCGCAGAACCATTTATTCCGATCATTCACAATTTTGTCTCTGTTTACAAATACTTCTTACACCGAGATCACAGTCGATTGACAAGTGCCACGATTTGACTCGTGGCACGAACTCGGAGAACTATCCTGTGTTGTTTCAACGAAATCACGTTTCGATTTAAATCGACCTCGTGATTCCGCAGGTGGCGACTAGAAAATGAGAAAAGCCTGCCATACAGAGTTAGAACCGCGATATTAGTCACGTTTCTTGACGGTGTGTCTCCCTCTCTCCCTCTCAATGTCAATGACTGCTCCTTCAGGGCTAACTGTGACCCCCCGTGCGAACGAGAGTCTCGTCTTTCTCTGACTCGCTTGTCCACAGTCGAATGGAACGGCGCTTTCACACGCAGTTGAAACCACGTTTATATTCATACACACGTTTCCCAGTTTCCAAATGTATAAAAATAGCTGATCAAAAGTAACCTGATAAAGTTCAATAAACCAATCGTTAGAGTTTAACTTCTTATCACTTATGAATAGCATAATAGATTTGTTTGAAGCACCGTCGAGTCGTTGCTTCGACAGAAGATTAATTCACTGGGCATGATTTATGAAATTATCGCGAGTGGGGGACATTATCGAAAACCAGTTCGGATTTGGTACAACTTTTACTGAAAATTATCAGTACGTAAATATCAGCTGTCCTCGGTGATAAAAGCTTGCGACAATCGTTCGGAAACTAGGGTATCTCTCCCGTCGATCGATAATCACCGACATATATCATCGATTCCGATGATTATTATTTGTCAACGGTACGTGTTTTCAAACGGTATGTAACTGGGGAGAACCTTAAACCTTAAGGTTGGCTAACGGGACATCGGCACTGAAATACCTATAGCGTACGCCGATCCCTGTTGCGAATCCTCTGACCCGTGACGCCAGATACAAAAATGACAAATTTGTGCCACATTCTCATCGTTACGTTCTTCGGCTTCACAGCCAATTCATAAGATTTCGATTCCAATTTCCTTCCTGTAAAACACAAATTAAGTATACACAGTAACTAGTTGTTCAATAATTTAATAAAAACTGTATAATGAGACTGAGCAAAGAATTTTAAACACTATTTCTCAGCGATTCACCGCAGCTCGGCCGAGCTCGACAATTTGAACGACCGTCGCACCAGCGCGCAGCGTCTAATCTTTAAATTTAATTTACTGTCCAAAACGTTGCATAATGATTAATTGTAAATACATGTTAATGAGCTCGCTCGTTTAGAACGTGGAATACAGAGTTGCGAAACGCGTAACGCGGGTAGCAAGGAAAATTGTAATTTGATTTTCCTTTTGTACGAGCCGAACGTTGCTCATAAGGCGCAAGTGAAATTGCCCGTGTAATGGACTGATTTTCATTTACATATCAGATAGAACGCAGCCAGAGCGAGGTAGGTGCTCGCGTTTTAAAGGAAGGATCGATTGAATAACAGAAGAGTTTAGAACTCTTCCATTATGCGTCTAACGATTTTAATTACATTAACTACAAGGGAAAGCCATTGTTCCCTCTTGCGTGAAGTCTAAATGACAGAGAACGGTGGACACGCTCCTCCGCGTTTCCGCTCCACTTTCAACGATAATTTATTGAAAACTTGTCATCGATCGTTTTTCCTACGTATAATTCTGAGACCACGTCGTCGAGTTTTCGAGTAGAAATCAGACTGCAGATTTTTATCCAAAGTAAATCTTGTATAAAATGCTATCAAAAGCATTTCGTGTTTCACTGATAATAAAGTGTCTCAGTGTTTAATTGAAGGTCGCTAGTTTGTATTCATGTAAAAATCTACCAAATCGAAGTCAGTTTTAGATCAATGGAAAAAATGTGTCGTTAGGATAATGAATTAATTGGAGTGTACGCAACAGAGATGAAACGTTTGCTAAAGTCGACGTAACTGGTTATCTTCGTATAGGATAACCGGATACCCGTTTCCTCCAGAAGGTACGCCATTTACGGGAAATCGCGACAGGGCCACTCTTCCTGGTGGTGTCTGCAAATGGTATTACCGTGATTAGAAGGCATACTTGTGCAATAGAATGCTACCTAAACAAGAATCATCGCCATTAATATCTCCGCGTCTCCGAACAATAACTAGACTGGACTTGACGCGTTCATAGAAAATAAAAATGTATTCCAAATCGAAGAAAATATAAAAGATCAGGCATTCTAAATTGCCGTTACAAATGTTTTATTTTACGTAAGACTGCTGAGTTCTTCAAAAGCTTGTGCCACGTAGTGAGGAGATCTGAAAGAAATTATGCTAGCTAGTGAACCTTTTAACCTGGCCAAAAGGAACAATTAGTTTCCTTGAAGACACTAATGGCCTCCTATTACGTACTTTTCCTGAGATAATCGCGAGCGTTTGGTTAGATAATGGGAAAATAATGTTCGTAAATATCCTAACGCGTTTTCTCTTGCACTGTCAAAAATTGTTTTTCCTTCAGTCATGTTTATTTACCGTGAAGACAAATTGGAAACTAAGCTCGCATAACTTATCGACAGCAGAGCGTACGCGAGCCTCGATAACAGATCTGACACCGTTACACGTGTTAACGAAGTTACTTTTTAATTGTCGTGATTAATGCGACAGCTCGCCTTATTTATATAAAGGAATAACATCTACGTATAATTCTGAGACCACGTCGTCGAGTTTTCGAGTAGAAATCAGACTGCAGATTTTTATCCAAAGTAAATCTTGTATAAAATGCTATCAAAAGCATTTCGTGTTTCACTGATAATAAAGTGTCTCAGTGTTTAATTGAAGGTCGCTAGTTTGTATTCATGTAAAAATCTACCAAATCGAAGTCAGTTTTAGATCAATGGAAAAAATGTGTCGTTAGGATAATGAATTAATTGGAGTGTACGCAACAGAGATGAAACGTTTGCTAAAGTCGACGTAACTGGTTATCTTCGTATAGGATAACCGGATACCCGTTTCCTCCAGAAGGTACGCCATTTACGGGAAATCGCGACAGGGCCACTCTTCCTGGTGGTGTCTGCAAATGGTATTACCGTGATTAGAAGGCATACTTGTGCAATAGAATGCTACCTAAACAAGAATCATCGCCATTAATATCTCCGCGTCTCCGAACAATAACTAGACTGGACTTGACGCGTTCATAGAAAATAAAAATGTATTCCAAATCGAAGAAAATATAAAAGATCAGGCATTCTAAATTGCCGTTACAAATGTTTTATTTTACGTAAGACTGCTGAGTTCTTCAAAAGCTTGTGCCACGTAGTGAGGAGATCTGAAAGAAATTATGCTAGCTAGTGAACCTTTTAACCTGGCCAAAAGGAACAATTAGTTTCCTTGAAGACACTAATGGCCTCCTATTACGTACTTTTCCTGAGATAATCGCGAGCGTTTGGTTAGATAATGGGAAAATAATGTTCGTAAATATCCTAACGCGTTTTCTCTTGCACTGTCAAAAATTGTTTTTCCTTCAGTCATGTTTATTTACCGTGAAGACAAATTGGAAACTAAGCTCGCATAACTTATCGACAGCAGAGCGTACGCGAGCCTCGATAACAGATCTGACACCGTTACACGTGTTAACGAAGTTACTTTTTAATTGTCGTGATTAATGCGACAGCTCGCCTTATTTATATAAAGGAATAACATCGAATTGATATATTACCGGGAACGAATGTTACGAGCTGTGTCATTGCGGGTATAAATCTGAGTCCTACCTAGCAGCGTTAATTCGTCGTGCGAAATCGCGCAATATTTTACGCCGCCGAGGATCGTGGACTGTAATTAAAGTGCGATTAATAAGATCTGTAAACTGTACAATAAATGATTGTCTTGGAAACGGTTCGACCTTCGACGCGTTGCCGAGTTTTCATTCACAGTTCCTGATCTAGTATTAGAACCACTTCGAGGAAAATTACCGATGATGTGATTCATTACGAGGAAGCTCGAGACAAAATGAAACGTTATGATAATGAATCACGAGAACGTGAATCCAGTTTAAAGATAAAACGTCATCGATGTGTTTCTTATGAGACAATTAACACCAGTAATTCTCTGATCAATATTACTCCGTGTATCATACTTTCACCAATTAATTCAACTGGCAGTCGATAGGAGATTCGATAGAAAAAGATCGATAGGGTCATTCCGAGTAGATTTTAATCAGAAGAAACGTGATTTACTCCGTTCGTCTCGCAACTACTTATTGTTAGTCGTTGACATCACGGGCATTACTGTCGTCTAACGTACGGCCGAGTCACGCCCCCGCCCTGGTCCCAGGCAAAAGCAAAACCGAGGCGAACCGAAGCAGACCGAAAGGTACCGAAGGGACCGCAACAAGGGGCCCCGCGAGATCGCGAGTTCGCGGTGTTCCCTCGCGAGCAAAAGCCGCAAACCTCCGTCCTCGCGGATACGAACCGATACCACCCTGGTACCGCGCGCGCGCGTGTGTGTGCGCGCACTCGCTCGTAACGACGCACGCTCACGGAGAAACGTGTCGCAGACGATAAGGAGCGCCGATTGGTCGCTTCACCGGTTGCTTCTTGGTTCACCAAGACCTAAAGCGGCTGCGCGGTCCAGGTACGTACCTGGCACAACGTTCCTCGTTCACTGTCACCGGCGATCTCTTCGGTATAGACGGAAGTGGGTCCGAACACCTGGAGCAGAGCAGCGCAGCGCGGCGCCGCGCCGTGCGCCCTTAATATCGCCAGCGAAAAGTGACACCGGGCTGGCTCGGCTGCTGCACGGTTTTATTCCGATTCCATCGGCAGTACCGATCGCGGCCCCGACCGGATGCGGTGGGATCGTGTCTTCGACCGATCGCAGCCGAGCTCTCGCGGAACTAGAGGGACGCGTAGGTGTATCGGTTTTTGACACGCCGCGGACCGGTGAAAGCGGACTTTACTTACTATACGCTTTACCTACGCTACGCGTCCGTACCGCTTTGTCTCAAAATTTAGTGCCGCTTCGTCGAGGATAATTTGAAAAATCGCCGTGGGACATTATCGTGAATTGTGCATTCTACCAAAAGTGATTCGAGATTATAGAGAGAGAAGATTATAGTAAGTTGACAGTGAACCGGAATTATTTTTAAACATTCTCAAATTCTCGAATAATACAGTGTAAGTTATGCTATGTACTTAGAGTGCTATACATTTCTCTCGTCCTTTGTTTTGATACGACTATGAAACCGTTGAGGAAAATTCAAATAGAACCAGCAGCGGTGATTCATAATTTTCGGCCTCGTTAATCGAGATGAACTTCACTGACGAATCGAGAGCTGCGTAGACACACAGTGCATTCTGGTCACGTAATAAGTACCACATCACTAATTACTCCCCGAGTCGGTGGTACATAGAGAGCTGCAACTTTATCTGGAAGCGATCTATCCTCAAAGATGAAGCTGTTCAACGAGCCTCGAATGGCACACACTCTATTTCCAGGTTGTTCCATGAAAGACGTTCAGTCAGGATCCCACTCACCGTCGAAAGTCGTCAATTTCGTATGCAAATTAGACGTTCAGGGTGCCATTGCAATCGCAACCTACGTGTCTTCTTTCAAAATTCTCTTGTTCCACGTATCATCCTTATAATTGAGTCATTCCACATCTTAGGCAATCTTCGTTCAATGAATAAATGCATTCTGAGTATAGTTCTTTTTTTTAAACAAATCATTTCTACAATTTTCTATTTTAAACGATTTTGTATCGTAAAATGAAATTGAGGAACGAACAGATGAATCTGTGCGTTTAGTGCCCTTAAGGCGGATGCGTGGGTTTGGTACGCAGCGATTCTTTGCCTGAACCGCCGTGCGTCTGACCGGATGTGACTACTGTGCGTCCGTCCTTCTACTTTCCACGACTACTGGTTTCAACTTCGGAGCCTTACAATCGCTCGCAATAATGATCAGCTATAAACTTTGTTTTATAGACACGATTTGAATAGAGCCGTGTAGAATATTAATCAATTTATTGAAAGGTCCATTGTGATCAAACTGCATAACGTACATATCGGAAATTAGTTAATGTTCAGTGTATTAAGAATTGCTTAATCGATTCGTGTGTCTGACGAAATGAAACTAAGTAACGAGCCTTAGATATTAACGTTTGCTCTCTGTATTCTAATGAAGCGGAGATGAATGTTTGCTTGGCGAACTGTGTTCTACATGAATGGGGGTTAAAGGTATCTAGGCTAACGGTATATACATATAAATGAAAAAAATCGATGAAAGGACTTGAAAGGAAGCCACTTTTGTTTTGCATTCGTTTCACCTGGCGAACATACGTGCATCTTACATTAGCCTCATATCGTTCATACATCTACGACTCAGCAATTACAAGAAATACTAATTCGAAGTGAATTATATCTCGTGCATTAATAATACGAAGTAATATGAGTTAAATACTGATTCGTTGAATTTCGCACGTCGTCGTCTATGCGACCACAGGGTCAGGGAAAGAGAGCAAAAGAGAGCGACGTAGAAAGGGACGAGAGAAAGGTAACCGCGGGTAAGCCGGGATATCTAAAAGCCAAAGAAAATATCGCTCATTGTTATTCGGCCGTGTCCGTTGCACCGTCTACAGCGTGTCGCGTTTAATACGTATATGCTTTATCATTGTAAGACGGGAATGGCAACCAGACGTACTCGCGCGCACGGTACTCCCGGTGGGACACCTACGAGAGCTGGTACACCGATGCAGGCATTGGCACCGGCGGCCAGAAAGATGTAGCAATCCCTTGTTGCGTGGTGCGTCGGTTCTTTTTTTATAAAGGGGGCTAGATGCAGCAGCTGCGCACATGAGTCACCGAAACTCACGGAAACTGTCGTTTTAATTATCGAGACGGCCGAGTATCGAGTGCACTTCGCTCGCGAGAGGACCAAGTTCGGTGACATTCGAGAAAGAAAGTGCAACTTGAAACCTTTCCTCGTTTCTGTGCTTTCCTATTCTTCCGTGTCTAAGACAAACAGTGCGACTATTCGCTGTTATGATCTATTATAAAATGATCGATTAAAAGGAGTGAACGTAACACGGTTCAGTTATAATTGAACATTATGCAATAAGCACCACTGATTAATTAATAGCTACCGCTTACGTATACGAATACTACTGATACTTCCGGTTCAGTTATACTTTTCGCTGTACGTCGAATCTAATAGAGAGATCGTTCTCAGCTGTGTCGAATGCAAAAATGTGTTACCATTTTTACGCGATACACGGTGAACCGTAGTGGAACTGATTTCCACCGTAAGAAACAACACGTGCATTCGTTGCGTGAGTACACTACCGTGCAAGAGCTTAGAATCACTAGAAATGGAGCAAATGGAGCAATCCAGAGAAAAAGGGGACACGTTACGTTAATCTGAATGTAAATTAATTTTTCATGCCAAATATCAATTTTACATGAATTAGAAAATTGTTGAACGTAACGTCTTTTGATCAAATTAAACCATCGACAGAACGCGAATAACAAAATCTTTGATTGATTTTACTAACAGAATCTCAGATCGATAACAAAAATTAATGATTTTCTAATTGAAATTGGAATAGGAAAACTTTTGACGGGTAGTGTAGGTAGCATTGAGAGGAACGGTTGTCATAAACCGTTTATTTTCGCTGGTCAATGAGTGATCTAGCAATCGCGCGTCGATCGTTATTGACAGCGCGTATAATAAACGCCCGGGAGCCGCTAATTACTCTCGCATGATCGGCGAAACGGCGAGCGATAATGATTAGTTAGACAGACCCAGCGAGACGGTTCTCAATTTTTCCTTATCAAAACGGTTCGATCGATTCCCTACGATATGCAAACGTGGCGCGGCGGTTATTTTCGCAACCGGGCCGGGTTACGAAATCGGATGTCTTGATCAAATGTCATTTTGTATAGATAGAAGTCAATTTTATAAATGTTTCCTCTGCTAAAAACTACTTGGATTCTTCTTATGGATTTGGTGCATTTAAAAATAAAAATAATAAAAAAATGCATAAAAAATAAAAATTCTGTCATATACGTTTGATTTGGAATACAAATATTATATGAATCGTTACATGGAGTTTGATTGTAACGTCGATGGCCGTGAAAGATTATAACGTGACTTAAACTGAAACAACGTTGCGCGTATCGTAGGCGGGCCGGGATGTAAAAACGTGAAAAAAACGTAAGCTGTTTTACAGAAGACTGAAAGCTGATCTGCAATACCTGAGAAGGAGGGGACTACTGAAGGCGTCTGGCGAACTATCGTACCAAGGACGCAAATGCACCAGATGCGGTGCACCGTTTGGTAGATTTTACAACACCGGTGCACCGTGCGCTCGGTGCAGGCACAGAGTTTGCAGGCAGTGCCGTATCGAGGTCAGGAGCCCTACCGACAACAAAGACGTCGAATGGATCTGTAACGTCTGCTACAAGATCGCGTGAGTAATCCCACTGTCACTCCTTTCGGCATCTCATCTTACAATTCTATGATTGATGAAGCAGCGAGAATCTATAGCCGTTGATTGTACAATAACGTGATTCAAGAATGTATACAACGAAATATCGAATGGTCATCGCCAGAAATTGAAACCGTCCGTTATTCCATGTTTACAGAGAATTGCATATCGTCGATAAGTGGACGTTCGACGATTCACTGTCGAGATCTGTAAACGGGAAAGGAGCATCCCCTGTAGAGTTACTGAAACGCAGCATACGAAGAGCTTGGACTATCAACGGTACGTTGAATATTTGATTCGGTAGGCCTTGACGTTTTACCCATTTGAAAAATGTAAATGATATTGGAATTTATTGCGTTCCTGTACAGGTCCACCTACACGCTGGTCCGCGGCGAGGAAATCGCCAGAGCTGCGAATCTACCGGAGTCTGCCACTTCGGCATCAAGACTATCGAGAGATTATTAACAAAAACGAAGTTGCAAAGCTTGAAGCGTCGAGCTGCGATCGAAAGGAGTCGATTTCTGACACGTGGAGCGATTCTGCGAGGGAGGATGCGTGCGAGAGGAACGAGTCAAGCGAGAAGTTGACGCAGCGAGTGAACGACGGCAACGAACGAACGAAACGAACCGAGAAATCGAGCAAACAGGAAGAGGAAGTGCCATCGGATGCCATAAGAGCGAAGAGGTGTAATAAAACGAAGAACGAGGAGCAGGAGGACACTGAGAGCCAGGAGCCGAGCACGCAAAGGATTTCACTGATAAAGCCACCGAAGATATTGTCCAAGTTCATATCGCCGGATATTAAATCCAGCCAACCGAAGCATGGGGAGAGAAAATCGAATATCCCGATATTCAAGCGGAGTTCCAAGGAATTCGAGGACATCAGAAGCCCCCAGGAATCACCCAAACGTTCTCTCATACCTCAAAGGTATTTATCTTATTCATTACAATATCATAAAGTCATGGATATTAATGCTGTAATGAAATTTATGGTGTCAGTTAAAAAAATCTTCTATCTTTAACTTAATTAAATTATACGTTTAGCTTTTGATTAAATTTCCTTCTAAAATCTGCAGTGATACGTGCAAATGATCGAATGAATGAAACTTCGCTCGTAAGTATAAAATGAGTAAACTGTCGAAAATTCTTGTTCAAACTGGAATGCGATACGCACTCGTGCAGAATGTCGACACCTGCTTACTCCGCATTCTGTACATTTCAATCTGACACCATTATTCGACATTTCAAGCATTATTCGAGTTTACGTGTTTATAAACAAGCGGTCACGTATAAAATACCATGAGAATCGAAGTGGAGCTTTAAAAATTGCAAAAAATGGAAAAGTAAGAGGCATCGTTGAAAATGTGTCGAATATGTTAAACATGCAAATGAATTCACTGTTTATGTATGATTCATTGATCATGTGTTTCGCAATTGTTTCAGGTACCGAGGAAGTACCGACGACCTGCGTCGCAGTCGCGAAGATATAAGCTTGCCCAGTTTGATCCCGAAGCTGTTATCGCCGAGGAGCAAGGAGGATCGATTGAAACGACAGGACAGCAAAGACGACGTACGTTGTTTGTCGAAACCTCGGAGGGACTCGAAGGAAGAGGTCAGAGGCACTACTGGTCAGTGTTCTACCGGCATTCGACTGTTCCGGCGGGACAACAGCCGGGAGGACGTGGGCAGGGACACGATTCCGAACGCGAATAGCTCGGTCGCTGCAAAAGGAAAGCAAACCGTGAAAGAGGAGAAGCCGGAGTGCGTGGGTGTAACGACCACGTCGAAACCGAAGTCGACGGTGGAGCTGGCGAGGGCCAGTCTGGATGGCGGAAATTCCTCGAAGAGGAATTGCGAGGAGGAGCAGCAGCATGAGAAGAAGCGAGTGAGGGACGAGATGCTCGACGTGGTCGTCAACGACGAGAAGCTGTTGGAAGAGCGAGAGGGCGTGAAGAAAGAAGAGAACGAGGAGAGGAACAAAGAGGGATCGATGATCGAAGAGGCGGAAGCGTTGGAGAACGATAAGAACGCTGACTCTATGAAGGAAGAGAGTCTGATAGAGAATTCTGATAACGATGTTACCGCCTTAGAGAGGAAGGAGCCCGGACCTGGGAAGAAATCAGACGATTTCCAAGTGGTCAGTATACAATCGTTTGATAATCGATTTCATTGAATGAAAAATTCATTTATTCTTCTAGGTGCGACGGAAATTTTCTAAGGAGGAGTTTTCCAACCCTGACGACACAGACGACACGCCTAATAAACGCTGCTCGAGCGTGAGTTTTCATAATTTTAATACCTCTGATACGGTATAGAAATCCCCAATGTTTTAAGTACTGGTTTTTCCCCTCATTAATTTTACGACTAGGAAAACAAAGTTAGTCCCATCTGGCCAAGCGATTGTATAGTAATTTTATGGTCAAGATTTCGAGATACGAGAACAATGGACGATGCAAAACTAACGGGTCTCGAACTACTCTTGACCTGCGCGTAAACCCGTTAATGTATCTCTACTTATGCGACACCGAGATTTAACGACCCTTACAAATAGACGGCAACACGTTTCATCTACATCAACGTTGTATTACGTTTTACAGCACTTATCACCGGAAGCCAGTCCACTGAGCACGAGGTCATCTAGATATAGCCCGAGGGAGAGCGAGAGCGAGCCGACCCCTGCGCTTCCTCGAAAAACCGGAGATTCCTCCTCCGCGTCCCAGAGGATACGGGACGCGATCACGAGAACCAGGAGGGAATCGAACAGCAGCACCAGATACGAGAGCAGCGGCAGCGAGAGCGTAAGGTGCGCGTAATTTAAATCACGCTATAAAATCTCGCTATCAAGCGCTTTTGCACGTGCCGCGAAATATTACTCCATCGTGACGGCACGTGACTTGCCAGTTCACACTATCTTATCTTCGATCAATTAAATAATAACATAAAATACAAATTAATAGGAATCGTAAAAGATATCACTAAACGTAGATCTGTCTTTTTAATTTTGCAAACTAGATTGAGCGAAACTGGCCTGTATGGATACGTGGAACTGACGAGGAAGGTCAAGTTCTTTGGTGGAAGCGGCACGATTCCGTCGACAATTGGAAGCGACGAGGTGGTGCAACGCGATAGTGCAACGAGCGCGGGCGAAGACGAACCCCACGATGACAATCATCCCAGGACAGGTCCCGTTTCTTCCCAGGGTAGGACCATGCTTCGGAGAAGACGCCAATTCGATGCACAAGGTATTTTCTTTCATCGAATTGCAATTTATAATTAGATCGCAGACTTTTGTTCAAAGCGTCTGCCATAACGAACCTCTACTGATCCACTTTCTGCATATTTTTTCATATTATAACTAAATTATTCGTATTTTATCCAAGTAAATGCGATGTAAATATAATATTTGTCTTAAAGACAGAATCTCCTAAGAAATCTCTATGCACAATTTAACTTGAAAACGAAAGAAAGATTATAGTTGAACGAGATGCACGCGAGCTGTAATATCAGTCACGAGCACGAGTCGCGTGCGCGAATCGAAAGTGGTCGCGGTGAATAAATTTACCAAATTTCGATCGATTTCGTGAGTCACGAGTACAACCTGTCAGGGTGTGTATATAGAAGGCAATAAGCGGCGTTTGTATTCCAACCGCTCAGAAACGCATGGCCATAACTAATAGTCGTAGACGTACTAATTATCGTAGGAGCGTAACATTTCGCTTTCGCGGCCGTCTCCACGCGTTTTTACGCGCTCGCGTTATGTACTAAATGGAAATGAGATATCGACGCCTCTCTTCCAACACTGTAGAAATTAATAATATGTAACGCGAACTGGAACTGATTAAATTCGCGAATATGCTACTGGATTCTTGGTCTTAATGAGTCCTGATCTCATACGAGATATACCGCGATTCTCAGATTTGTTTCGTAGGAATTTAACGAAAGTAGAAACGGCTCTATAAGAAGTACTGTGATCCTTGTCAATTAGAATTATAAAAATTGTGTAACCCGGTTACAGCGGTAGAGTGCAACTTTTTATTTAACGTAAAATGTTTCTAGTGTCAATTTAGTAAAATGGATTTATTTTCATTCTTGAAGCATTTCATATGACTATATTTCAATTTTTCTATAAAAGTGTAAAACCTGTAATCTAATAATGGGACCGTAATTTTGGTGTTCGTCGACCTCCACGTTTAAATTTTTCACGATTTCAAACGCGTGAGTCCATCGATTAAAGAAACCATTGGCATACTAGCCCGCATGAAACCAGTCGGTCTCCGTGAAACCCGTGAACGGCGAGACTCGCACAGTATTATCACCGCCGTATCGCAGTTTAAACAGCGAATTCGCCGATAAGAAGTTACGTTGTCCCCAGTGCCGTGTCGACGAGCGTGCCAAAAAACTATGTAACAAATAAATAAACACGAGATAGACAGGCGTGACTCGATCAGTAACACGTTGTTGCTAAATCGTCGAATAAAATTCAGACGAGATCGTGTTAGCAATTATAATGTATAAATTGATGACGGTATTGAGGAGATAGTTTTGCAAGTGCACCCGGCAACGTGATGGAAAATTGTACAGAAATCGACGACGACATCGGAGTGTATACGTTTCATAAAGAGACCGACGGACAGTTTCGCAAGCGGTGAACCCGGGGACGAGACGTGTAACAAATACCGTTGAACGAAATTTCGCATGATAGAAGCGAGCAGCGAGGAGGATCGCGTTGAATGCAAATCGGGCGCGTGAGATATCCTGAGGGAGCATCCTGCGAAACATGGACGTGAGAAGAATATGCCAGCTATTAATCACGGTCTTCGTCTCCATGTATTTTTTGCTCTTCTACGCGGCGTTCGTCGTCGTCCTTTACTTTCTGTGGCTCGGCTAGCCGGCCCGTCCACGTCCGACGAAAATATAAGAGAGGCTCCCTCCACGGTGGATCGTGCCGGGAATTCCTATTGAGAAATAAACTGAACAGGGACGGAGCGGATAGAAAAGTAGAACCGATGGAAGAATTCGAGAAATCTAGAGTGTAGGATATATCTGGAAGATTTTGTGAGCGGTCTCACGTCGGGGGAAAAAGTGGAGCACCGTGCAGGGGAATTAAACCGCAAATTAATTCTGCGGTACTTGCACCTCCTCCTCCTTCTCCTCCTGCTTTGTTCGTTACTCCGAGTCATTCGTTACAATTTCTTCCGACTTCCTTCGTTCCACCCTTTTTCTATCACGGCACACATAAGAACGATGATTACGTGTCTCGAGAGATCTGTCTCTCTATAGCTTCCAATAATTTTTATCAACGCAGATAAAACTAGATGAATAAAAAATAACTCCCGTTAATTTTGATGTAATGTTTAAAAATGATCGATGCTCATATAGGAAATCGCAGTAATTAAGAGAGATTATAATAATTCAACGATGTATCGTTGGTCGAAACGTGAGAACCGGCCGCCCACTTAATAATTCTCTAATTAATTAGCAGCCACGTCGGATAATGGCAAGCACGGAGGAAACTCCGTCTCGATTGTTTCTTTCGACGGAGGCGGAGGCAAATTTTTGTTTTGTAACGCGTAGAGGAGCAGACGGTGCGAGCAGGTGAGACGAACCGAGAACCGGGGCCCAGGGAAACAGCATAGAAATAATACTATAACAACGTTCCCTGTTTCGTTCTATAGTCCGCTCACCTGACGCTTATACAGGGTGTTTCTCCAAACGCTACTCGACTTCTTCAGGCATTCTATAAAAATCCAGATCTATCTTATTATTCTTCTGATGAAGACGTTTGCAAATTAATTAATATCTTGATTGCTATTACGAATTGCACGTCTGAATTATATTATAGTTAAACTTTCTGTTCCATTTTCTGCACAAATTTAAATATTAATCGAGTCACACGACGAACGATCCCTTTATTGTTTTCATCGTTTATAAAAAGAATTCAAACGTTCGAAGACATTTTTGCATTTTGCATAAACACGTCGAATCATGCGATAAAGCTGATTATTAATCCTTCTGTCAGGTGGCCATTGTTATCTCTTCATGGTCGTTCGCTTTTGTACGCCCGTTGCATGTACACGTCATAATGTACACTATAGACGCCGCTATAGTGTTTCGTGCAAGGTAGCGAGGTAGTGACCGATCCTTGTGGGATTCAGGTGTGCCTCAGACGCTCGTTCGTTCAGTTCACCGGCGGTAGCCCACGCGAATCGCTCCCCTTCCGACGGTGTGTCGTTTACCTTCGCCGGTTCCTTCAGGATTTCCGATGCCCCGCTGCACCGGTTCCGGTACCAGTACCCGCGAACGCGGTTCCGTCACACGAACGCGACACCCCATTCGTCGAAAGGGAAACGAGGCCTCTAGACGATGATTAAAGCGGGACTGTAAACAACGATAACGTGCTCCGATTTATTGGTACGCGTATTAGTGCGCTTTTAAAAATTTATGTGAACTATTTTATTGAATATTTGTGATATGAAGTTTCTCGTATAACACAGCTAATTATAATATATAAGATTGAATTGTTATTCAAATTTTTATATTGCTGGTCACAGTGTAGAGTCAACTTAAATTTGATATCCTCCCACAACTTCCAGTATCGCATTTCCTCAAAGTTTCCCTCACTTGTAGCTACGCTGTTCCAAAGTGGAATTTCGATGCTTCACCAAAAGTCAAAGCCAGTGTTCTTGTCGATAGAACAGCTCCTTTGTAACAAAAAGGAGTAAAAAACGAATAATCAATTGTCATATGAATTCTAGAGTGAATTGGATAAAGTCATTTACGATTAGCACTCTGATTCTCAGTCGTAAGTAGGAAAAGTGAAGCAACACAATGCGTAGCTCTAAATTTAGTCGACGATTCGCTGGTACACCTTAAACGGTCATTTACATTTCCACCTGATGCGAAGTGTCGTAGCCGCGGGTTTCTCAATCGGTGTCAGCCGTGCTCGAAGTCGTTTCGACCGATTTAAGCCGTTTAAAGTCCGACTGCGTCTCCGTCTTCTTTACCATTCTTTTCCCCCTTGAGTTACCGTGGTGGATCGCGAGACGTTCCGATGCCCGAAACGTAGAAAGTCACACCGAATCGCACGTGGACAAACGAATGGGCCCCAGTGCCATTGACCAGATAATTCACTGGCGCGTAAAAACCGGACGCGGTGCGTGCTTCGATTCTTTCTGTTGTTTTGGCGCCGCGCTGTGCCATTGCATCGTCGGTCTTACCGTTCTTATCTTCGTGGAAAAATCGACGAGGGAAAAAAGAAAATTAGCTCGAGCGTTACGTGAGTTACGCGTTCTAACAAAGACGCCGGAATTTTTATTCAGGAAGATCTGGAGTGACTCATGGAATCGATCTGATATGACAAGCTTAAATGAAAACGAATCACCTCTTCACTCGTTATAAAAAACGAAAATTAATTAAAAAATTAATTTGGATTGACGCAGTGAAATGTTCAATTAATATTTTTTATAAATCAGAAATATTCTAATTGGGAGAAGGTTGTTTCAATTGATGCGACTTGTAACCTTCTAGGATTCATGCTCATTTCGCATAATCTGTGCAATAGTATAGCCTCCGTGAGTCATTCCGCGTCCTGGCTCGGAGGTTTTAATCGTTAATGAGTCGAGTTCGCTTGCGGCTCATTAGCGGTTCAAGAGTATACATGTTCATTAGCTTCGGGGAATATTTACTTAGGATCGCAATTTGTCGATGCACCCCGATGTGCTCGGCTGAGATCGATTAATTACCTCCAACCGCTAATCAATAAACGTCTTACCTATTTCAGGGTCAATGAAACGCGAAAAAGTCTGCAATTTTTTACGACCTTTAGAATGCCACTGAAATAAGAAATAGAAAACAAAAGACTCGTCAATGCTGAACATTTGCCAAATATAAGAAAGCTTTTATTCAATTATTTCCTAAATCCACCGAAATGAACGATCACCGACTGTGTTTTAAAACCCATTGAGCCTCATTCGCTGTCCCAATGATTATACGGACACTGTCATTCTTTAGTAATATCTTCTCAGTGCCTGAACAATTCTATTGATTATTCCACGTTTGATTGATAACACAATATTGATAAGCCACGATATCATAATTCTTCTCCTTCTCTTATCAGCATATCGGAGCCATTTTTCGACAGTCGAATCGTGTTTTTCGCAGGTTCCCGGCGAAGAGGAAGATCGCACGCGAGAACCTGTTGCGCGGAGGAACTTCAGAGCTTCCAAGCTCTGATCGGCCGGGACGGTGGACAACAGAGTCCCACCGGAAATCAGGACCAGCCGTTGGTCGATTACAGACGATTGGTATTCATCAGCTCTGATTCATCATCCGGTCGCGAGGAAGACGACGCTGATAGCAGTTGCTCCAGTTCCTCGTACCTGAACGGATTACCTCGAGCGGGAAGTCGTACGCAATCTCTAGAGGACTGCGACTGGGACTACTTCGAGAGCGGATCGTTGCCCTTGCCGGCTGTCACAATTGGCACTAACAACGTGGGCACGGATACGAGCAGTGGACAGGATTGGAGTTGCTGTCCTGGACGCGGTCCCACTGCCTGTCAGGTGGGTTCTCGACGAAATAAAAATTTAGGAAAAGTTTATGCTACACGTGGGAGGATTATCTACGCACCTACGTGTCGTTCTGTCTATAAATTTACCGTCTCTGTAGATAGAAGCAAAGCTCCATACAATTAAAAATTGCAATTATCTTTGCATTTACAAAACGAACATTCAGTATCTCATTAATCATACGAAACGTTGATCAGAAACGATATTGTCAAGTCGAAACGTGCGTTAATCTATAGATCATTTTATTTCATAGACTTGCGGAGGTTCGAGAGGAGCGAACGTGCTGCCCGTGCCAGTACCGATCCCAGTACCGGTTCCGTACCCAGTGCCCGTGCCAGCATCCCTTTGGACGAGCGACTTCGCGGCCGCAGCTAACTCGATGATAAGCAGAAGCAACGATGGCCACGTGGAACCGGGAACGCTGAGGTTGAGGGGCGACCCGGCCGCGCCCTGGTTCGCCTGGCATCCACGATTCAATCAGCCTCTGCACGGCGCGAGGCTGGACCCAAGGTTAACCGGTGTCTTCGATCCCTGTACCTTCAGACCTGATCAACTGCTGCCGCCGTTGTACGGCTCGAACGAGGCGCTACAACGATTGACCAGCTTGCAGATCAATCAGGACGAGACCGACGAAGCGAAGCCCGTTGAGACTTTCCACGAGGCCGATTCTGTCTCTGTCGATCAAAAAATTGTCGAGCAACCGTCGAGAATCAAACAGGAAGAATCTAAGACGCAACAGAGCGAGGTGAACGATGAGGAGGGGAAGAAGGAGGAGGCTTCTTGCCAGGAAGTGAGCGTGTCTTTCGAGAGGAGAGGGCAGAGGATGTTCCAGCACGAGGATTCTGGTAGTTCTTCTGGCAGATCCTCGGCTGACAGCAGCGATCTCGAGGACGACTCGTCTTCTCACAGATTCTCGAGAGTCTTCGTCGTCAACGACGACTCTCTGACCAGCGATAACGACATCGAGGACAACGGGGACGAAGACGAGGATTCCGACTCTGCTGCCGAAAATGGTATCACGTTGAAGAGAGTAACGGCTCTTCCCGACGAGGAGCCTGTAGTTCTGCAGTACGTGAGATTTCTCAGCGAAGACTCGAGCTTCGAGGAGGATAACAGGAGAATGGGTGGTAACAGGGAGAATTTGGGTGAGAGAGCGCAGGAAGCGAACGATAAGAAGGGCGAAAGGAGAAAAGGCCGTGGAAGAAAATACAACATGGAGAACGAGAAAAGAATCTCTTTATCCTCTCAGCAACGCGAGATGCCGGAAGAAATGTACATAGCCAGCGACAACGACTGCTCGGACAATCAGATAGAACTGAAATCGATTAAAATTTTGGATCCAGACAGCATCGAGCCGGTCACTTTTAATAACGCGAGCAATGAAACGATGGAAGAGAAACAATTCGATAGGACGGACGAATCAGTGGATCTGGACGATCGGACTCGGTCGACAGATGGATGGGATTCGAACATAATCCCAGACTCTTTAGAGATATCCGCGGACGTATCGAATAGTACGGACTTCTCCAACCTGGAAAGTATTCACGCGTCGACGCCAATGAAGATTCACGGAAACGATTGCGAGCCGGGTAATGATAATCGCGGAATCGATAACTGTTTATCGCTGATAACGAGCGAGGAGGGCGTAGATCGCAACGACGCACCGTCTGATTTGAATTCGAGCTCGAACGTGACCGGGTTCTCGGGATCCGACAGCTTCACCAGCAACGAGACGAACACGACCGGAAGTGAGGTGAGCAGCGACGAGCTCCACGAGTATGAGGTGACGCCAGGCAGTATGTCGGCCTATTTTGAAAATTCCGCGACGAACCACGAGCTACCGTCGAGGCTGAGAGAGGAAGAAACATCGAGGTATGACGTAGCGAGAATCGCGAAGAACGATGATGAGTCCGGCATTGAGCAATTGCGGGACACGAACGGTGTCGCGAGCGCGTGTACCGAGACCGATTCAATGCCGATCGATTCGACGATTGGTACGGAGGATGATCGATCCGTCACGGCTAAAGATGGCCAGGGAGACGACGACCCGGATCGTCGGGAATCGAAATCGGCGGGCGCTGACGTGGTGGGCGACGCGTTCGCCGACGGGTCTCGGGAGAACACAGGTAGAGGAGACTGTGCGCATGACGGTTTCACGGTGAGAGGTGATAGTCCCGAGCAGGTGGAAGGAGGTCGAAGTGGAGGTGGCGAAGGTGGTAGTGGTACCGAGGATAGTGGTGACTGCGCCTGCGAGGAGGGGACGGAGGAAGAGGGATCGACACGGTTTCGCTCAGTCGAGCGACGCCCGTCCACTGGAAAGGAGAATGGATTCCCTCCTGCCGCGTGGAAGGACCAGACCGTCAAAGAGCTATCGCAACGATCGACGGTGCAAAACAACAACAACAATAATCTCAACAAGTACAGGAGCCTCGTGATGATCACCCAGGAGGCGTCGTACCAGCCGGTGAGCGTGATCACGTCGGACACGACGACCTTGTTGCAGCCGGACGAGGTGCACACGGCGAACCAGGGACTGGCCGGATACTTCCAGCTGGCGCTGGAGGCCGTCAGCGAACAGCCGCACCGTAAGAATGGTCAGGGTCCGAGGAAACCGTTGATGGTCAAGCGTTTGGCGAGCGTGACCGCGAATCACTCCGAAGCGGAGGCCGATAGCGGGCTGAGCGTCGGTAGTGCGAGTGAAAGCGACGACGTGTCGGTGAAAAACGCGGCGAGGATCGCTGGAAATCGCGTGGAAAATAACGAGGACGCGAGGCAGGCTAACGAGACCGCCGCCACTACCGCGCGTGCACGTGCCTCGTCGCAGTCGAGCGACGACAATTCGGCGGCCGCTGGTCTCGTGATCCTGGAGGAGGGTCTGGCAGACGATGACTCGTGGGTGGAGGAGGTCTCGCACGATGAGGACGAGACGGGAGGGACGACTGCCACGGAGGAGAGCTCCGAAGATGAAGCGAATAATCTTGGAGATCGCGAAGAGGAGCTTCGAGGATATCACAGGCAGGCCATCGACTTCACTTTGCACACCATCGTCGAAGAATCGTGCGAGGAGAGCGAAGCAGAACCCAGCTTGGCCACCGGAAGTCCGTCCAAGAAACAGAGACCACCGTCGGCCTCCGAATTGGAGAAATACTTTTTCTTCGGTCTGGGAGGGGAAGGGAACAACTCTAGCTTGGGCTCACGCGAAGTAGACAGTCTGTCCGAGACTTCTTCAATTTATTCAGAGGGCTTGGAATCCCTGGGACAGGACGAGTCCCCGGGGAACGGGCAGAGTCAGGAGAGATCAAACTCCGGCGAAGGATTCTTGAACTCCTCGAGATTGGAAAAGTATTTCTTATCGGAGTTCCTGGGTTTTGATCAGGACAGGCGAGACTCGGACGGTTCGGTCGGTAGCGACTCCGAAGGGAGGCCCAGTCCCGAGGCGCAGAGGAGGAAGAAGTTAGTTCGCGCGAGAGGAACCGGTAGATCTCACAGTTCATCTCTGGACAATCTTTTGGCCCTGTCGCAGAACTCGCAGAACTTGAGCTCGCAGAATTCCCTCCAGGATCTAAGTTTGAATCAAGACACGCAAGAGACGCAATCCGAAGGCTCGTCCACCGAGACCGACGGCGCGGACGATGGACAAACGGCAGCTTTTGGAACCGATGGACAATTCGACACCGTGAAACGAAAGAAAAAGAAACCGAGAAATCTGGGCACGCAAAGTCCGCGCGTTCCGGACGACAGGAACAAGACTCCAGAACCGAGCAGGGAAATGGTATTCGTAGGAGAAGTGGTGATGGAAAATGAAGCAGAGGCTATGAATTCGGAGGACTCTGAAAGAGCGAAGACTCCTCAACCGGAATCGGTCCTCGGCTCTTCCTCCTCTCCGTCGACGACTGCCAATAATTCGGGAACGTCCACGTCGTTGGTCGATTCGGCGAGGAGTATGCAAATGAATTCTGGCGAGTCTCTGAATTACAATCAAAGATCAAAACAACACTCGCGTGATTCCGGATTCGTGGGCAGTTGCGACGATCTTCTCCAGCACCAGAAACTGCCAGACGATGCTCAAGGTACCGAGATCAACCAAGAGAACAGAAAAGATCGTTCGAACAACGAGAACGGAGAGAATGGTCAAGCCTCGAATCGCACAGAAAGTCTGCTCGGTGAAAAAGGGAACGCGACCAATAAAATGGATCACCCGTTGGGTCACAGCACGCTGCCTCACTTACCGAACGCTTCGCTGTCGAGAAAAGACAGCTTCAACAATTGGTCCAGCGACGAAGAAACCAATCTGATGATGTCAAAAATGAGACAATTCTTCAAGACCATGGTGGCGAATTCCAACGGGCAGAATCAGAACACGAGCGCCAATTCGAGCGGTCCATCGCCCGCGCCCAGTCCGAGATTGCCCGGTTACTCGTCGAAAGCCCGGATGTGCTCGCAGAATCGCACGAAGCCGCCGCAATTAGTCTACTTCGAGAACGAACTGACGCGGCTGATGAAGACCGTGCCAGGAATCCGGGACGAGCAAGTGCGGGAGATCGTCGAGTATCTCAGTTCTGAGGACACGTGGTCCGATTCGTACGACAGCTCCGATTACACCAGCTCCGATCTGGAAGGGGCGGCGGGTGGACGTCGATCAGCGTTGCAAGAACAGATCTCGCAGAGCTGCCAGCAGATAATCAGCAAATTCGACACCACGTCTGGCGACGATCTGCTCGACAAGGAGAGGGAGGACAAAACTGGGTCGTCGGGAATGCAGCCTTGCCTGGGCAGGGACACAGCGTTCGTATATCAGAAACTGGTACAGAGTTTCACAAAAATGGCTGGCGACGGTGTCAGTTCCGACGCGAATTCGACGCCGCACAGCAGTCCGCCTTTGATCGCCAAAGTGATGCACCACATCGGCAGTAGACTAGTAGCACTGATGCACGAGGTTTCCGAAGGCGGGCCGGCTGTACAGCATCACACGTGGAGACGTTACTCTCAGCATCATCGCACGCCGTCCTCGGCTTCTACCACGGAAGACGACGATTCTACTTCTGATTCTACCAACGCGCCTTCCTCCACGCATTTGCAATTACCCAGATCGAAATCGCACGATCCTTTGTTACTGATCAACAGTCACCCTGCTGCGTCCACAGGACAGGAGGGCGAAGAACGCGAGGCCAGTGACTATGAAAGGTTCTCATGGAGAGGCAGTTTCGAGTCCGCGTTGATGGCTGCAGACTCGAGGACGAAGTTAAGCCTGTTGGCTTGTTCCGGGGACAGTGTCGGTGGTGCCAGTGCTAGTGCTAACGCGTTGGCCATGGCCGCGAAACGTCGCAGTGCCGGAGATCTGTTGTTCAATCCCAAGAGCTTCTCCAGAGAACAGTTGGACAGGGTCAGGAGTTGTGGTTCTATCGGAGGTGGAAGTGGTGGTGCCACGAGTGCTTGCGGAGGCTCCGCAGAAGAGAGGATTTGGAGTAACCGGAGAAGATCTTCCGTGCCCGACGCTAATACCAGAGGCGAATCAGGTAATTGAATTTC